TATGAAGAACTGATCATGAAAGAGCTGTACAACTGGACAACAAAAGGAAGCACTAGGCCTGTAAATCAAACCCTTAGGCTGGAGAGATTGACTCAAGGAAAGCCAGGGATTCCCTGTAACAGTGAGATTTCCCACAGCAAGCCCAAGCCCAGTGTTCTGGATATAAATAACAAGAAACAACTCTTTTCAAGTAAATGTAAAGCTGCTAGCCTTATTTAATGAAAAGTATAATGAACATGTTGTATCTTTTCAGGAAGAACAAGAGGCACAGGCTAAAGCTGACAAGATTAAACTTGCATTGGAGAAAATGAAAGAAGCCAAAATTAAAAAGGTGGGATTTAAAATAGTGAAGTGCATAATAGCTGTTGAGAGAGTATCTGTTTTCATTATTCTCAATAATAAAGTTCTTACTAAGATCATTAGTTTTTTTCATATTTTGCCTTTAATTTGAAACAAACATCAGAAGATGTCCTGTAGAGCTGTCTGGTCATCTGAGTGTACAGAAGTCTCTAGGAGAACACAACTTCTGAGGGTCTTAGTGGACTTGAAAGGCTGTATCTACTTTTTTTTTTTTTTCAGTGATGAGGCAAAGTCCACAGTACTGATATTTTGCTCTAGAGGATGTGAATGTACATAAAAATGTTGCTTACTTGTACTGCATTGATTCCAGAAGTATTAAACTTCATTTTTGCAATAGCTGTAGAGACAGCAAATCCTAATTAAATAAATTAGCAAGTTTTGTAAATTCTTTCATGGCAGTGCAGCAGTCTACAAAAATACCAGAGCTGGCTTTAGATCAAGAAATATGAAAATAGAAGCTTCCAGACAGTGTCAGTCCTGCAGTGTGTTATATAAATATGCCCTATCATCACAAGCGAGTTTCCAAATCTGTACCCACTGCAGTGTACCTCACTGTAATGTGTGGCACAGGGATATCCTACGACTCCAGCTGAACTCAACAGCAGCTGCAAATATTCAGGAACTCTGAAAAAGTGGGTGCAAAGGAAAAACAGTTGTGACATTTCAGTTGTGCTCAAATAGGAGATGGAAAATGCCTGAGATGAAGGTCTTCCAAAAATGGTTCAGTGCTTCCAATAAATCTGAGGGTGTCCAAACTTGAGATAGCTCCCAAAGACTTTTTTGTTTGTTTTTGCATACTGAATATCTGAAACAAACAAGCAGAAGTAAGACTATTACTTCTTTGAATCTACTTTGTTGTTAAGTTCTATGTATAATTGAATTACTATGTCATATTTGAATTCCAGTAAAGTTTGAAGACTAAAGAAATTTGCTCTTTTCAGTTTTGCAAAAGGATGGAAGTCTCCTGCATGTTTCTAAGCATTTGAAACGCTATAACCAGACAAAAATCTCATTTTTCCCCAAATGTGTTTTAGATTATGCACATACAACATTTCTTCTTCTCTATAGTATGTGCTGCAGCTGAGCTGCTTATTTTACACAGGAATATATGCAAGGGTTGGAATCAGAGCAAGTTCCTTGGTTTTACTTGCCTTTCCTTTCTAGGATACAGTGTAGTTTTTCTCCTGGGAATCCTTGCTTTCTGCTTCTACCTCAGCTTCAACAGAGATTCTCTCTGTTGCACCAAAGCCTCTTATACGACTGTTGTAAAATAAGGAGATATTTAAATAAGATGGCATGAAGAAGCCCTCCCAATTCACCAGTTTAGTTTCATGTTCTGTGTATAGCTTCTGGAGACAATGTTCTTCTGTTTTCAGTACAAGGAGAGGAATTTAAATATCTCAGCATTTTCCTCATTTAAAAGTAAATTATGCCTGTCCACACTTCAAGCCTTCCTTAAGGATACGCTGTCCTTTTGCCATGGTCACCCTATCAAGCATTTTCCCTAACTGAGTATCTAGAAGATTTAGTGATTTCTCTCTATGGAGACTTTCTCTCCATAGCGGTTTCACCTTTCCTGAAGTCCTACACAGGACCAAGTTAATTTCTTTTTTTTTCAAGAAAAGATCTTTATTTCGGTGGCAGCGTAATGTAAAAGCTTCCAAGCTTTATTATTCCCTCAGCTCCCAGTGGGACAGGATGCCTTTGAAACAGTAATAACCTGCCTTAATCTTTCTTATCTGTGCTAGCAGATTCAGACTAGCCTTTTACTTGCTTCTGAAATTAACTGGCTCTTTGTGATCCCTTGCTCAGCTGGTTGTCAAGGTGCACATGTACGATAACAGCTCAAAGTCGCTCATGGTGGACCAGCGGCAGGTGACACGGGATGTTTTGGACAATCTCTTTGAGAAAACCCATTGCGACTGCAACGTGGACTGGTGTCTCTATGAAATGTACCCAGAGCTGCAAATAGGTGAGTGATGCGGTGATGGGGTCCTGTGGGAACATGGAGCAGATAGGAACCGTGCATCCTATGGTGTGGGCAGGCTTGGAAAGTTGATTAGTAACATCAACATTACATTAGTAACTGCCCTTGTGCCAGTTGTGTGTGAGGTTTTGCTGCTGAAAGACTTTACCTGAACAAAGGGATTGTGAATATTGCCTGAGGGCAAAGTGATGATGGTATTGAGCATCCTGAGGGAAAGCTGTGGGAAAGCGCTCAGGCCGTTCTCGCTCAGGGACGGAGCCCTCTGAACCCCAGGGCTGCTGCTTGCAGGAGGCTCCCTGCAGGCTGCTTTCCCATCACTCAAAATTTACCCAACGCAGAGGGGCCATGGGAATTTTACTCTGTTTGTCAAAACCCTGGTGGACCTCCTTACACAAGTACTCAACCCACTCTGTGAAGGAGGGATGCGGTGCCAAGGGTCTGTCAGCAGGATCAAAGGGTCTGTGAGCAGTCCAGCAGCACTGGACAGAGAAATGCTGCAAATTAACGAGGGAGTCTGAAAAGCATTTCAATCACTTTTCATGTGTTTCACTTGCTAGAGTCATATGAAGTAACTAATGTGGCCTCCAAATCCCTAGGAAGCAGCTGTGCAAAACTTGTGCATTTTTGGTGCACCATGATGAGTTTTGCCTCAAACAGGCACTGAACATGAATTAACATTGGAGCACTCTCTCATTGCCAGTTATTTCAGAGTCTTTTCTGTTGGCAAGACTGAAAGTACATTCACATCAGAAGGAAAAGGGACATTGCTGAAACTTTCTTCCACAGTAGCATTTGACCTGGAGAAACTGGAAGTTATGTTTGACCCAAAGAAACTAGAAATAGTCTTTTGCATTCTCAATGTACAAACTTCCAGGACAGATGTGAAAATGGATGAAGAAAGTTAAGTATCAGTATCACTCTAAAAGAACCTCAGGAATAATGATTCTACAACACTAAAACAAAGAAATGGAAAAAATGGTTTGGAAAAAGCCTGACTTTTCCAAGTCGGGAACGAGCAGATAGTCATCTGTCTGTAAGAGGTTCAGAGACAATAACTGCCGAGGAGTCTTTCTACTCCATTAAAATGATGCATGAAGCAATATTGGCAGATTCTTTTGTATACGCCAGTCTTAACTAAGACTGCAAATGTCACTAGTCCCTGGAAATTTCACAAATGTCACTTTGAATAGAAATTGAATGTCTCAGAATGTTGCTTCTTCTGGTCTGGCATGACTTAGACAAACATTCATGAGTGCTAGGATTACAACATGCAAAGAAATTGTTTTCTGAATGCCTACAACCATTGAACAAAAATTTACTTGTGTTTTTTTCATAATCTGGGTAGAAATTTTCAATTCCCTTTCATGTAACTAAAACTGAAGGGTCTCAGGAAGGTCATATGCTACAAACACTAGGATTTAATGTTTAGACTTTTTTTAAAAAAAAGTTAAAAAAATTAAAAGATTTTAAAAAAGGATCTCTTTAGTCTTAGTTAATGTTGGTTGCTTTGCACTGTAGTAATACAGTTTTATTGAAAATGAGAGTAATTCTTTACGATTTTAAAAGCCAAGAGAGAAGATGCATAGGGAAGGGAGTAAATCAGTAGGAGAAAGAAAAAGTCTATGAACTCCCAATGCAGGTGCCTACCCTCTGGTCTAAATGAGCTGGGAATGGAGCCCTTTTGTTTGCAGCAGCAGATTTTGATTTGGATGAACTGGTGCATACTCTTTCTTCTGCTTCCAATAGGCAGCAAAATGCAGTTCATTTTGTTCAAAATTATAACAATGTAGCTATTATTTATTCCTCCTACTATCCTCGGCAATTCCAGATAGCTTTATTACTGTCAGCATGCTTAATAGACAGTCTTTGCTGGTCTTTCCTTTTTACATGCTTCCCATGCTAGAATCTAAGAGAAGAAAATTACATTCACTGTAAAAAGCAAATCTAGCAAATACTCCAGACTGGTGAATTGATATTCCGGAAGATCCATGACAGAATATGTCTATTCACTCTGACAGACAATTGTTGCAATTAAAAAAGCTATATTTTTAGATTAATTGCTTGTTTTAAAATATCATGAATGCTTTCAATAGTGTGACAGTGATGTAACACTGGGTGGTAAATATCTTGTTACAGAGAGTAAACCGTCAAATCAAAAAAAGGCCCACCTAGTGATGTTAAGATCGTAGCTTTAACACAACAAAAGCCTGGGACTGGAAATCAAACAAAGCTGGATGTGACAGAAATTGCTCCTAACTAAAGAACACATGATGAGAGAATAAAATTTTGCTTCCTTACTGCTTACTCCCACATTCGCCTTTCTTTGATCCATGATTTGGTATTGGCATATAGGACAACATGTGCACTAGATATATTCCATACCACCTAAAGGTTTGCAGTCTGGTACTTTCCTCCTGTAAAATCTTTCTCCATCTAAACGAAAAAGATTAAGAGATATTGCTGAAATGCAACTTCTACCTATCTTTTTATACATTTTATATATTTAAGCACATTATCTGAATATACTAAATTTTTAAGGGTAATTGCATGCCACTCCTTATGTCCTCAGAATCCCAGATCTTCTTTGATTACTTAGTGCTGTGCTGTTACAGAATTAAGTAAACAATTTAGATGCTGTTAGTGAATTTACTGCTACAAAATTATTATAAATTAAGTCATTGTATTCTTTCTGTTCCCCAGTATAATTACTCTAGGTAAATAGGTTTGCTCCTACATCTAGAGAATTATTTTAGAGCTATCCTGGAATATAAGATACTGTTTATCTTTCAAGTAGTTGCTTGGGTTTTTTGTGATACTTTATATTTCCAGTTTATTGCAGAAATACTAATTGCTAAATGAAAAGTATTATTAACACAAAAGAAGTAGGATAACAAAGTTTGTGTTGTTAAGAAACTGCAATTTATGTATGAACTGGCCATGATGTCTAGTCTGTAGTTCATAGAAGTTGGCAGTTGTTTAATTCCCAAAAGTTAGTTTTGAGGGGTCACACTGAACTCCTGACAAAATAACAAGCCGTATTACAGAGAGCTCATAAACATGTGCTGGGTTATCTTCTCTTACACTAAGCCAATCTAGGCTGTTGAGAAATGTGGTCAGCAGAGACCACTGAAAAGAGAATACAGCTGTTCATAGGAACTGCCAAAATCATACTGAAACTTAGCCTTGCTTTTTTTTTTTTCATCACATATAATGAATTTGTAGAGAAATGCATATAGGTGCTTCCAAAATTGCTTGTGAAATCAGGCTGACATCCTTTCTCTTCCAAAGGGGATTTATGTGACTGTTAAATTACTTCATAAAAACAAAAGTCCAGAAGGAGAGGTCAAGAGTTCCTTAATGTCAGCATAACCTGGTAGCTTTTCTGGGTGACAGATTTAGTTTCCAATCAGCAAAATAAGGGATAGGATTGACATGAGGTCTCCCTCTCTGGTGAGGTTTTTAACTGCTGATATGCTGAGTGAAAGAGTAGATCTTCACATTGGTTTATCAGTTTGCCTTCCTATTTCTTAGTTCTACTGTTTCTGGTTTTAAATGTGGTTGTCTGGAAGAAAAGATTTTATTCTGAATGCATAGCCTTCTTCCTGGTGGCAAAAAGTGATTTTTCACTTGTTTCGGTAAATAAAAAAATAAGAAAATTAATTTTCTCACAAAAACACTGAAATCATTGAGGGACATGGGTGTAACCGTCTTCTCCTGTCAGGACACAGTTTCTACCATTCACAGTCTCTCAGCAGCAGCAGAGAAATGCAGGAGGAGTCCAAGAAGATGCCAGTGCTACATAGAGCATGGTCTGTAGCTGATTTGTGCTTCCACCGGACACTGTTTTCATGTGGTTTTGCTCTTTGAAAAGAGGGCTGAGCTCGCCAGTTCCGAACAAACATCAGCTAATGATTTCACTCAGAAACAGGAATTTCCATTTGCAGCCTTGGGAGAGGAGAGAGTGAGTTTGAATGTCTTACATTATGTTTTTTTGTCTCTTCAGAACGGTTTTTTGAAGACCATGAAAATGTTGTTGAAGTGCTGTCAGGCTGGACTCGAGATACTGAGAATAAGATTCTATTTTTGGAAAAAAGTGAAAAATATGCTTTATTTAAAAATCCCCAGGTAAGGTAACAAGATATTTGGAAAAGAGTCTGCAATTATGTAGTCCATATGTTGCATATTACCCTATTGGTTTGCTCTGTCAGTTCTAAATTATTGAAAGCAAAATGCATACTTCAGCAAAAAAAAAAGACATCAAAAAGATGAAAAGACATCAAAAAGATGAAGCATGTGAAAATTAGTTCTTTCTGTTCCTTTCTGTTAATATTTTTAAAGCCATATCTGTAATGGTAAAAAATAAGGCAGGTATTTCTCCACTGGTACAGGCTTTTGCCTAGGCACAACTCTCAGAATTGGAGTGAGATGGGACAATTGTAAAAACCTGAATTTTGTCAGTACTGTAGTATCCACCATGATTTCCACAGATGAGCATCAGCCTTTCCTTACAGGCTAACTTTTTCCACTTGCACTTGAAACTATATGAAAAGAATGCTGAGTACTAACAAGAAAGTTTACCTGAAAGAGTGGAAGAAAACTTTGGTAGCCAGAACTCTGTGCACATTGACTCTGTAAAATGAGGATGTGCACAATGACAGCTACAAATTATACCGTATATATATAAAAATCATTTCTTTCTGGTTATATGCAATAGAAACCATGTTTACAAAGACTTTGGTATATACAAAGTGCTGGATTCTCTGATGCTCATTTTTTTTGCTTTGTCAGATGTCTGTTACCTTGCTTAATATCTGGTGTGATCCTGAGGACAGCAAGGTAACAATGAGCAATCCTTCACTGCAGGAAGAAAAAAAAGTAAAATAAATAATTTGGCAGCAAATCTCACTCAGCTGTTCAATTGGGAAGGTTTTTTTAGTTGAGCCAGTGCTTCAAATAAAACCTGCAGAGAGGAAGTTTCCTTCATTCACATAGCAAGTAACCACAGAAGGGAAAGAAAACTTACCCCGCAGCGTACATGGATTCATGTTGACTTTTTTAATATTAAACAGCTGAAGCCACGTTTGGAAGTAAAATATACATGACGGCTCAGGATATCATAGTTTCTGGGGCACGTTAAAGACAAGTAGTAGCAGTGGTTAGGTGGTGTATTTGACTTGTACACCAGTAATGTTATTTGCCATGGCTCAGGGCACGGTCTGGAAGTACCTTTTGAGGAGCAGATTTTTGTGGAGACTCTAGCTATTTTGATTGCAATGACCATTAGAAATAAAGGTGACCCAAAACAAACTCAGATAAGATCCTAACTCTGTCCTGCCGCTCACACTGAGCTTGCTCAGGTCATGTTTGCAGTCCTTGAGCTTCAGCACCTCTGTGATAAGCCCTAAAGAGGGCTTAGGGGGAAACTGCTTCAGTCGTGACCATCACACTCTTTTGGCAGTGATAGCATCTAACCACCTGTCAGGCTCAGTAAATTCACACAGTGTGAGGCATACGGAACAGTGCAGTCATATCAGCACTACTTCCTTTTGGCAGAAAATAATCAGTATCGTACAGCCAGAGCTCATGCTGGATTACAAAACATGGTAAAATAGAATATACAATCTGCAGTGAGTCTCAGAGTAAATCAACGCAGAGGCTGAGTTGGTGGGTGGCAGAGCATGTGACTGTGCAGCTACCTACTTACAGAAATGGTTGTGCAAACAAGGGAAACTGAAATCCAGAGCTGTGGTGCTGTGTTCTTACACTGTGGGCCTCTTCCTGCTCCTCACTCAGGTTATGCCGAGGTTGCTTCACGAGTTCATTCGGGGCGTACAGAAATTGCAGAGTGCTTTCTCACTGGCCAGCAGCATTGGCCTTACTTGCTGTGCTCCCATTTAGTGCTCCTTCTGTCAGAGGTTTTCTGTGGGGATGAAAGCCTCAATTTGGTAACTTGTGATTTTTTTTTTTTTCTAGAAGAAACAGGCAATTTGCAAGGGCGGTCAGACACCCAAAATTTATTTGTAGACAAATTAGTGATTTACTTAGTGCTTAAAAAGAAAAACCAATTATGAAGATATCCAGATGCATTCCTAAACACAGCACCACCACCAGTGCCGGTGGAGCTCTGGAAGAGATCTGTGATCTGTGCTAATATTCCTCATGTCTTTCTATACCAATATAACTAGACATGTACCTGATATCGAATAAACAACAATTACTTAAACATTTCATTTTCTAAAGAGCAACTAAGGTTATGAAATGCAGGAGTTATCCTCCATTTCTCTGCTTGCAACATATTGCTCAGCGTCTGGTAGTAGCTGTTTACAAAAGATTGTCACTGTCATCATGCAGGTCCTCTAATATTTATCACACCTTTGTTTCTCAGAACAAATTTTGAAAGCATTTGGAATGCATTTTGAGAAAAAGCTTTGGCAGAGCCCGCGGTCTCTCCTTCACAAAACCAGGCACATTTTCACCCTCTCCTCGCTGGAGTGTAATTTACCCTGCAGGGATTTCACAGTAAAAGCCTGTTCTACAAATGGCATCCGTGACTCATCTATAGAGACAGAAGGTCATGAGTCCATGACTAAAGAGTGAAACAAAAATATGTATCAGTACACGTGGAAATAAAGAAAACCTTTATAACATGGGAGAGGTGACACTCTGTCACATGGTGCCAGGATGCTGGGCTGACCTTTGAAATGGAAGGTTGTCAGGTTTCAACACCTCTTTTCAAAGAGTTCAGAGTAATTCTCAGCTAAAAGAGCCTATAACACAACGAAAAATGTAGGAAACATGTTTGTTTTATTTGAGTAAGGTTATTTGTAAGGTACAGCTGAATCTAAACTCCTGACTCTAAATTTTAGCCATGCTTTTAAATCACTGCATATTTGATTTTTGCTTAAAAGATTTTTGATTTTCTGTGTTTCTCTGTTGCTGGTAGGAGCAGATGAAGAAATGAAACCATGTAAACGACACCACATTCATACAGAACTTTTTTGTACAGTTTTTACATAAATTAGTAAATATGTGGATACAGCAAGTACTTTTTGCTTCTGCTCCCCAGTTGGTAAACCAAGAGCAAGAGCTGTAGCCTCCAATAGAGAATTCTCGTTTTGTTTTTTTCCCCAAATAAGATTACTGAACAGTATGGATATGGATATAAAAGGATATGGAGTAAGAATTTCTAATGTCTTTCTTAACAGGCTGGCTATACTGAATTCTATTCTCAGATATGTATATTGAAGCCAGTTAAATCTGTTTGATATCCAGCAGCTGATTCTTTTAATGACTTCTTCAGCCATTAATGACTCTGTAAATCAGATGTTTTTGTCTCCACTGTTACTCTGTGATGAGAACAGAAGTGTGGCACTGAAAATGACTGTTCAGTGGGCTGGCAAATGCACAAATAAATTGAAAAGACAGAGGAGAAGTGTTTTTCACTGTGCTTCCAATATTTAGTGATCTTAATGTCTTTTTCTATTAGTGTATTTCATCTCTGCATTTTTACAAATGCAGAGATACGGAAGATGGCTCAGGAGGCTTGGCAGTGCAGTAGTTACGGGTACTGCTCCTGCAGTGATCCAAATTTGGTTTGCTTACGAGTGACATCAGAGATTTATAAATTTTAATTCAAAATTCAAAACCATTTCTTTCTTCTGCTGTTGTTTGAGGATTATACAGTGGACAGACAGCAGGCCTGAATATTTTGCCTGCCTCCACAAAAGAGAAATGACTAAGTAGACAGGTTGTGTGCATAAACTTGGGGAATTCTGCAGATTACAGTACAAAGCACCAAGTTAACTCATACTGGCTATGAAATCTTTACAGGCGCTCCCTTTGTGTATATGGAATTCCCTATAAAATAAAATCATAGCTGGGTCATTAGCTAATTTTGGTACTGTCCTACCCTGGCCTGCACGAGCACAGGGGAAATGTTGGCATAATGTCTCGCAGGGATGTAGTGCTTGGCTAGCACTACCCATCTGCATTAGTCTGGATCAGGCAGAGGGATGCAGGAGAGCAGTTGGCTTCCTGGTGGCCTCAGCTGGTCCGTGGTCCTTGCAGGCATAGGGATGAGTTCAGCAAAACCCTGCGGCTGTTCATCTCTGCAGCAACTAACCCAAACAGAGCAAACAAGCAGACCCAAAGACAACGTGTGCTGGCACACATTGATGGGTTAAACAACTCTTTACTCAAAAGTTATCATGCCAAGAGGATGGATCCATCCTGTTGAGTAAGCTCAGCTGTCTGTCAAGAGAGAGACACCTTCTTTTGGAAATAAAATATCCAGTGAATTCTCACGTTAGTGGACTTATTCAGTAAGCTGCCTGTAGCCAAATCTTGTCACAGTTATGGCTGAATATCCCAAATCAAACATGCTTTTCCCAGTGGTGTCTTCGGACAGGAAAGAGCTTGCCTCTTACCGTGACTTAGAATGACCTCTGGTGGACGCATGTGGCTGCCTCCTACATGATGAACACTTCTGATCAAAAATAGGAGACCACACAGGGAGAAAACAAGTACAGTGCACAATCTGCTCTCCAGGTCCTCAGCCACTGGCAAGCAATAAGCACCATGTACTTCCAGATACCAGGAAGGCAGAAACATAAGGGAGGTACTTAGTAATAGATGAAATGTGTGTTGAGAAGTGAAAGATGAAATCGTACATCTGTGTTATGTTGGTTTGGGTGACAGAGCCCTGTTTCCCTGATGAAAAAGCTACTTTGTTAGTGATCTAGCATGAATGTCATTACAGACTTTGTTCCTTTACTATTGACTGTGTAGGCATAGGGTGGTCTGTGCTTTTGCTAAATAAATGCCAGATGCTTGAACGTCAATCAGTTGTAATCAGAGCAGCTTTGTTTTCTTATTATCAGTACACTGATGTCCAACTAAGGCAGATGAGCAGAGTAAAAATGTGCCCAGGCCATTTACGCTGCTGTCAATCCTATATAAGAATTTTAGCCTGCTTCCCAGTAAGAGCAGCCGTTCTGTTGGAAGCTCCAGTTTCCTTCTCATGGCCATGCCATAGATAGACTTGCAGGTGCCTGTGTTTCTGAGGTCTCTGCCTGACTGACTTACTGCGAACTTTTAAGAAAGCAGTTTTCAAAGAACTGCTTTTGAGACCCTCCACACCTCTTCCCCTTCCTCTCCTGGTGCCTTCCAAAACCCATCTGCCCCGAGTGTTGTATTCTGCTGCTCAAAACACTGCTTGAGAAAGGAGATGTGGTTGTGTGGAGAAGCAAGGTTTCACTTCTAAGCCATTTTGTTGTAAACACGGGGTGTTGCCATGGCAGGCTTGTGTGCTTATTTCATATGGTGTAGCGACAGCATGCTGCTTTCATCGTTTTTATGTTTCTCCTTAGTCTTTTGGTAATGTTTGGTAATGTGTTGCTGTTTAGCCTTTGAGTACCAGAGCAAAAATGCATGTAGATATTGCTACATTCTCATAACCTTGAGGCGTATATCACCAAAAAATAAAGGTGGGGAGATACGAAATGTCAGATAAACTCTGCTGCTTTTCTTTCTACAGAATTGCTGACAAATTACAAAATTACAATAGTTTTTAAGGGGATACCTTTCAAAATTTGCTGAGTCTTTGCATTTTTGCTTGTTTTGTAGAAAGCAGATTTTGCTGCTTTGCTACCTTTTTTCTACAAGCCTGACTTTTGACTGTCCCCTGCACCACATATTTTGCAAATCTAAGCGGCTGTTCTGCACAGCCCTTCCTTTAGAAGATGATTGACACCAGCACTTCGTGTGCATCATCTTCGCTCCAAATGTCCCTCAAGGCACGGCATAACTCCCTGATCCCCCTGCTTGCTTCCCACATGCCTCAAACCATAGCTGTTCTGTGCAATTCCTGTGTGGTGTGGACGTGGGCAAAAATGTTTCTGCCGCTTGGAGTTGCTGATTGCAGACAGCTGTGAGCAAGCACGAGGCTCTCTGCTCCCTGGGCTGCGGGGGCAGAAGGCACCGGGGCCTTCATGCGTGGCGCATCGCAGAGCTGCTCTCCCAGGGTCAGGGAGCCCCTTCCCAAACACAGGCCTGTGTTCCAAGCAGGGATCTGGACTGCACATGCCAAGCTGTTGTGGTGGTCACTCAGTGCCCTGCTTTCCTCTTGCTTTTCAACTATTTCGTTGGATAAAAATATTCTACAGGGAATGAGTTGTAAAAGTAGGGGGAAGTGACTTTGAATGAAGCACTTGCTGTTAAAATTAAGAGCTGAAGCATGTCCAAAGCACCAGGCACGGAGGAGGGCAAACTACCAAAAATGACTTGCTAGAAATAAATGCTGTCTGGTTTTGGTATTGCTTTTTCTCTGTCAGCATCAGTGTACAATATAATGTTATGTTCTCTAACACCTCTGTAATAATACAGGAAGCTGTGCAGGTTGGAATGATGAAATCAAACCCCTTGCTCCAGAAAAACAGCCAAATAAAAAGAAGGCCTAAGCCAGTGTTTTTTAATATTGAAGGAGGCTGTATGTATATGAGCAGAAGTAATTTTATACTGCTTTTGAATTAAATTCAAAGAATTAAAACTTGTGGGCAGGCAGCCTGTGATTTAGGTTGTCTATAACAAGAGGATTCCTTAAACATCTGCCTCTCGTATCGGTTAGTTGGACACCCAGGATGAAAAGGCCGAATATATATTGAGTGGGGTAACAGCCTTGTCTCTATAACTAACATCAATTTCTTCTGTGTCTTACTCAGAATTTCTACCTAGCAAACAAAGGGAAGAATGGAGGCAAAGAGATGAATGAGAAAAACAAAGAGGCTTTACTGGAGGTAAGCCAACTTTCTAGGCTGATGATGCAACCATTGCCAAAACCCTGCTCCCATCTGCATCTGCCTGCAGCAACGGGCTGAGCGCGTTGTGGGCATCACAGGAAGCTCTGTGGTGGTTCAGAGCGGTTTTGTGCCTTAGGTTTAGTCTGTGACTTTTCCTCTGCAGCTGCTGCTCACCACTAAAAATGTGGATTTTATTTCTGTATAAATATTTTAGGATTACATTTATATTTATCATAGAAAATAAATGTTGGGAATTTTGTTGTTGTTTTTGCTAGAACCCAGTGGTATGAAACTGGTTTGGTTTAGTGAAGTCCTCAAATCTGTGAAGATTAATGCCATGAAACAAAGTAAAAACAAGGTTGTATGAATTCAAATAAAGAAACACTGTGCAGCATGCACCAGTGGATTACGGGTAAGCTGGTCTGTAGCAGAACTACTGCTTTTTGAAGGAGAAGTACATGTTCTTCTCATGACCGAAAATTATCATCTGTACTAAAACAGAAGAACCTTGGCATTTTTTCAGGAAGTCTAGACTCTTGCCTTCCCTCTTAAAGTTTTAAATCAGTTGTATGAGAGAGAAAAATCTAGAGTTATAAGATATACAACTTAAAAACTTATATGTTTTTATAAAAAAAATATATCGCAGCCCTCCTGGGCTTTGGTAAAAGTTTAGGAAATTATGCTGTTCTCAGGGTGCCTAGGGATTCCCCTTTCCAAATCGGTATCTGATCATGCAGGCACCAAATCTCAGCCAGCAGAAGTCTTGGTAACTTTTAAATGAAAACATGAGTTGTGTTGGCATTAAAAATGCTCAGCAGTAGGTCCTTCAAGCAAAGGAGTGTATATGTTCAAAGAGTGTTTATGATGCATTTGAAACTGAAAGCAAACACTGAGGGGGGCATTTTTCTCTAGCTATTCCGGCTATCTAAAGACAATCTCTGAAAAAATATTTCTCCACAGAACCTATAGATACAGCAGCAGTGAAAAAGCAACAGCAGTGATACCAAGTGTTCTCTTCTGCTGCCCCCACTGAGCGCATCTTTGTCTAGTTAAAACCTTTGGTAGTTCTTTTGCTAGACCTTTCAGAGAGCACAGTTTTTGCAGACCTTCTCTTCCAGTGTGAGCACCCAACTTGCACAGCCAGGTTACCACATTAGTCTGGAAAACTTTAATTTGCCTGTCCAAGGTAATCAGCTCTCTTATAACTGCATTTCGCATATTCATACATTCACTGTCACAGCGAGTATCTTTTTTTTTTTAAGGGAGCATTTTTTTCTGCTATGTATTAATAGAGTCTTGTTTAAATCCATTTCTTTTGTGTAATATTATTCTTGTCACATAGGAAAGCTTCTGCGGGACATCTGTCATTGTGCCAGAGCTTGAAGGGGCCCTTTATTTAAAAGAAGATGGAAAAAAATCCTGGAAGAGGCGTTATTTTCTTCTACGGGCTTCTGGAATTTATTATGTACCCAAAGGAAAAACCAAGGTCAGGAAGCAAAATAAGCCTTTTAGCAATAAAACAATTCATGGAGGTGAAAGTGAAGAACTCCCAAGGTGACCTTTTAAGAGGAGCATCTGATGCCTCTAAGAGTTTTTTGTTGCTGCTGTTTTAACTTTGGCCACACCACTTGTGCAAATATTAGAGTGTTGTCACTGAATCCTGTCACGTTTCCCTCCTTTTGATTTCTATGCATGGATAAAAGCATTAATGAAATAGCGATCGTTCAGAAGTCAATGGGGGAAAAGATAAACAACACAGCGCCCGCAAGTTGGTGTTATGCTGCAAATAATGCTTCACTTATGCAGCTTCCCTGTGGAGGAATCGCAGATGTTTTAAAAATTTTCAAGCAGAGTCATTTCTTGTTCAGAAAAAAAAGAGGAATCTGATTTTGTTTGATAAGAACTTTCTGCGCTACTAACCACCATGTAGAAATGCCACTCACCTTTTTTTCTAGTGATCTTTACCTAGAGAATATGCTGTGTCTTTTACTGCTTTTTCCAACTGCCCTTTGTGTAGAAAGAGGTGAGACACAGGCAGGCACTTGGTAGAATTAAATGCTCTGACATTCAGTGTTGCGGCGTGTTTGAAGGGCCTGAGTGGCCAGCCCCGGGAAGCGAAGCGGTCCCGAGCGTGCTGCGCGTGAGGGCTGCCGGGGGCGCGTTTCCATGGGGCAGGTGGGGTGGCTGCTTTGCGACTAGTGCATCATTTTTACTATTTTGCAAAGCGTTACTGCTTACAGCTCTGTGAGTGCTTCAGGTTTGCTGTAGATGGGAATTCTAGTGCTAATAGTAGAGGATTTCTAGTGCTGATCACTGTTACGATCTGTGCTGTGAGACTTTTCTGCCATTCCCTGACTGAATCACAAGGAAGAAAAGGAAGCAGTTCATGGCTCACAGAGGCATTCAGTGCTGCTGCTCCAGGAACCTGTGTTTATAACCAAACCTCAGTGAAGCACAGATCTAGATTGCTTTGCTACTTTCACAGCAATTTATTGTGACTTTACTTGACCCTGGTACAATGTCCTCAAATCATTCTGCACACACACACCATCTTATTAATTAGGAATTAGGACTCTATTTGGAAAGCTCTTAAGAGAGGAAAGA